TTATGATCAACACTATAAATACAGACAAATACGTCCATGGGGAAACCGTCCAGGCATTAACGGAAGCACACCGGCGTAGGGCTCTGGATGTTTTTATTAGGGAGCTAAATGGTGATCTTCCGACTCTGTTACTTATGCAGAAGCCAAAATCCTTACCCGAAGCATATTCCTCATGTCTTACCTTCCTAAACGTGGATAGACGAAACGCTATCTACCGCCCTCCACAAGCTTTAAACAGAAGTGGCCGAATGTTCGGCGATGCATATCAACCTTCAGCATCGCGTTATTTTTCGAGGGGCAACAGAGATTTTGCCGAGGAATTTCAAAATCCGGCACAAAGCCAATCGGGATACAATAATGGGACACAGACAAACAGAGGATACACAGGAAGAACTGCAGCCCAACTGCTCTAAATTATTTATATTTTCTTTTTAAGATTGCGTAAAAATAAAAAATACGGATATAGTTAAATTTTGGTTAGATAATAATCGAAATGCTACAACTGTTGTCAACTGGGTTTTCACGAAATTTAATAGAAGTGTGGATGACGAATGTATGGCATCAATCAAAAAGAAAATTAACAATTTTTGTGCAAATGCTACCCAAAAGTGGAACAAGAACCAAAGATGTGCGAAGAGATTTGCGAACAAGGAAAGTTTATGGTTATCAAATGTGACTGAATTTAAAATTTCTAAAAGTGATGTCGCAAACAAAAGAGGTCGCCTTAATGGTGGATACAGCGAGGGAAGTGCGAGGCAAAAACGAAACTTGCTTCCGAAGTATCGTCCGTACAGGGTCACGATACCAAATTATTGGTTCATGCTGCTTCAATATCAGCTTATGCATTAAAAGCAAATGATTTAAACTTTGTTTTAAAGGAAGCAGCTTCATCTCCATTCACACTTCTCCATTGTAATACTCATAACAATTTTAATAATTATCGTGTTAATGTCCTTCGTCAGCACTCCGCCGTCAACTTACACACCAACCATCAGTTGGACATGGTAGCAGCAAGCTACAATTATTGCGCTTTTGCTTACTAGCAAAAATAATTAGGTCAACAACTGCGAGATTCATTGGCTAAGCAATATTAGAATAAGTAGGTCAATAACCAAAAATAGAAAT